TCCAGCTGAGAGTTGCACTTCACGAACACCCGGCCGTGGTCCGTGTCGTAGCTCCGGCCCTGGCTGATGCAGCCGGCCGCCGTGTGCCCGGTCGGCCGCAGCACCGTCGTGCCCAGCGCCTCCCGCAGCGCGTCCTCCATGGCGGCGGCCGGGTCGGGGACGGGACGGGACGGGACGGGACCGGGCGGCAAGGGAGGGAAGGGACGGGACGAGGAGCAGCGGGACGGGGCGGAAGGGACGGGGGAAGGGCGGAGGGGACGGGGGAAGGGCGGAGGGGACGGGCCAAGGGCGGAGGGGATGAACCAAGGGCGGAGGGGACGGGCCAAGGGCGGAGGGGATGAACCGAGGGCGGAGGGGATGAACCGAGGGCGGAGGGGATGAACCGAGGGCGGAGGGGACGGGCCAAGGGCGGAGGGGACGAACCGAGGGCGGAGGGGACGAACCGAGGGCGGAGGGGACGAACCGAGGGCGGAGGGGACGAACCGAGGGCGGAGGGGACGAACCGAGGGCGGAGGGGACGGGCCGAGGGCGGAGGGGACGGGCCAAGGGCGGAGGGGACGGGCCAAGGGCGGAGGGGACGGGCCAAGGGCGGAGGGGATGAACCGAGGGCGGATGAGGCACTACTGTCAAAAGATTCTCTCATTCCTCGTATGCCGGTTCTCCCCTATGTTCAGACTTTTTTTTTTTTTTTTTTCTCTCTTAATCACCATTGTTCCACCAATTACAAAATCACTGTTGATTTTGTTGAGTTGGAAGGGACCCACAAGCACCATCAAGCCCAGCTGGTGGCCCTGCACATGACATCCCCACTGTCCCATGTGCCTCAGAGCATTGTCCTACAGTATTTTTCTTAAAAGCTGCACAGCTGCATAGTAAACGTACCGTATCCCCGGGATCTACTAATAAATTTATTATAAAGCCCTGGAGAAATTAAAAGACCAGAAAAAATTCAGCTTCAAATATGATAATATTTGAATACAAATATTATCAACAGAAGTAGTAAGGCAACAACAAAAGTACTTACAACGCTGAAACTTCTTTAATACAGAAGTTTGATGCTAACTTACATCACCTTAAATAAATAAGCTACAGTTCAGTAATGACATACATAATCTTACAGGTATTAACATAAAGTTTTAAATAAATAAGATACACTTGATAGACGTGTCCTGGCTGAAGCAGACAGTGGGTGCCAGGACTCTGCTCGCTGTTGCCAAATTTCTGCAGTAGTCTCGTAATATAATACAGATAATTGTGCAGATACTGGCATTCATTCTTCACAGTAGCCGGGGCTACACAAGCAATGAAAGATAAAAAGAAGATTAAGGCATGTAAACATTTCCCGGGAGTTTAGAATTTCATATTCGTCGGTTTAAAGCGGCACCAAAGACAGCTCAAGTGGGTGGAGTCTGAGGGCTGAACAAATTCTTTGACATCGTTTTGCAGAAATCAGAGTGCGCGCACGTCGAATCTCCGCATCAGTGAGAATTCCTCAAGGTTTCCCTTTGTCTCCTGCACAGAACGTCCCTGCGTCTCCGTGGGTGCCCATGCGTGGCCACAAGCTTGCCCCGAGTCCCAGTCAGTGTCAAATCTCTCTTGTGCAGGTGGCGGATCCTGAATTCCCAACTGAAGGGAACACTGAGTGAGCTCTGCAGAGACCTCTCAGGTCATCGAATCCAAACGTTAACCCAAAACTACCCAGTCCCACCCCTAAGCCATGTCCAAAGTGCCACATTTACATCCTTCACTATTACCCCGCAGAGCCGTGCCGAATGGGCCACTGAAAAGTCACCAGGAAATAAAAAGACATTACAGGGCCTTCAGGGTAAGGGCAATGTCACTAAGTGGGAGCTTGCCCCGAGTCCCTGTCAGTGACAAATCGCTCCTGTGGAAGTGATAGGGCTCTGAATCCCCAAGTGAAGGGAACACAGAGTGAGCTCTGCAGAGACCTCTCAGTCACCAAATCCAAACGTTAATGCAAAACTACCAATCCTACCCATAAGTCATGTCTCAAGGGCCAAATTTACCCCCTCTTTAAATCCCTCTAGCAATGGTGACACCAGCACAGCCCTTGGCAGTCGGTTCCAGTGTTTGACAACACTTTTTGGACAAGAAACCCTTCCCCACAGCCAACTAAACCTTCCCAGGTGCATCTCTCAGCACCTCCTCTCATCCTTTCTCTTGTTCCCTGAGAGAAGAGCCTGGTGCCAGCTGGCTACAGCTCTGTCTGCTGCACTCTGGAGTTCCGTCCTTGGCGGGTGCTGTGCCCAGCTCTTTGGGCTTCTGTTCTGGGCAGTCCACAGCAGTTAGAAGTTTTGATAAGGATGGTAGAAACAAACAGCACAGCCTTGGACAAGTAGATAAAAGATATAACTTAGGAAAACACAGAAGCCATGCCAAATGCAAGCAGGACACCAGCTGAGCTCTTCAAGGCCTACAAGGTACAAGTTAGGCAAAACAATGATATTGTGCATCCTCAAAAGGGGGGGTGGAGGAACAGGTGGAGGAACAGCACCTAAAAAACCACGAGCTGTTGAAGTCAGACCCCGAACTTCCAATAGGAGTGTGACCATATCAAACTTAAGGAAGTAGGGATAGATGATGAATGTGTAATCAGTGTGTGAGATAAAATCTCTTTCACCCAGCACTCACGGCACATGGATAGAGAAAGGATGCCAATGCTGCAATAAAGAATAGCTTCTTTCTAGTGCTCAAATTATATTAGACTATTTCTGTCTGGCCAATTTCAGTGTCATTACCCACTCCCAAAATTCTCAGTCGTGGACAGGTCTTTCTGTAGCAGAAGCAGAAATAAAAGGTCCTTCTACCAGTCTCTGCTGACTTGAGTCCTCTTCTTGTCAAAATGTACAAATAGCATGTGGTCACTTCATAAAAGATGAAGGGAAATATCAAAGGGTCATCCCTGGTGTGACAAACACCAGTTGGAGACACATTGCACAGAACTGAAAAAAAATTATGGATCTGGGTATTGATAGTTCTGCACCAGAAGCATTCTTAAAAGTCCAGTTCCAACTTCTATTCTGCTGCTTTTATTGTAGCCTAGAAGGAAAATATAATAGAAATGGCCATTTCCTTCCATGCATAGCAAGGACATCACTACTCATTGAGGAACTGGCACCCAGCAGTGTCAGCTCCCTGTTGAGCACCATGTCGGTGATGGTATCACACAGCTAATGAAAGGGGCAGCCAAGAGAAGGGATGTGGAGGTTGGAGCCCAGGAGCACCTGAGGACCCACAGCATGCCCGGGGCTCTATTTTTCGTCACAGGAATGTCGCCTTCAGGGCCAGTTCCTCCAAGGCAGACCAGTGAAAACTGCACCAGCTGTGCTGGACTCGGTGGTTTTGAGCACCCGGCACTGGTGGGTGTTCCTGAGTACCAGTTCCACTGGGATGTGCCATTCCACCGTTCTTCCCAGCTGTGGCTCTGCATCTCCAGACAATTCTCGTTTGCTCTCCTGTTTCTCGAGTGATCGAGCACACGTTTGCTCCTGAAAGCTGAAGGCACCTGACACATGAACTTCAGCAGCAGCAGGAGATCCCGGTGTAACAAATGACAGCATTCCATCACCACAAGCACTGTCTCAGCATCTCTGCTTGACTTAAGCCACACTGTATAAGACAGACGACAAAACCAAATAGGGAAAGAGGTTTTGAAGGAATTTAGGAATAAAAGGAGGATGTATCATGTTTGGAAGGAGGATCAGGTCTCTCAGGAAGTATTTAAGTGTGTTGCTA